GAGCTCCTGGTCAAAGCGCCGCCAGATTTGCAGCTCGGCTCCTTTGTCGGCCTCGCTTGGGTGTGCTCGGCTACAGACCCTGAATACCTTGGCGCATGCAGGTGCGTGACGTCGCATGCAGGTGCGTGACGTCGCACCTTGCAGGATGTAGGAATTTAGGATATTTAGGGTCTTTTGTCCTTGCTGTTGGTCCGTGGCCTTTGCTTCGTAAGTTTCAGTCAAGGTCCTGCGCGTTTGACGGCCAGCTCCTTACTGACCCCGTGCTGTCGCCGTATGGCCACCTTTTCGACCGCGCCTCCCTGGCTGGTGCTTTGGCCCAGAACCCTGGAATTTTAAGCGCAGCGAGTCTCTTTCGGGGTTCAGAAGAACGACTTGAGCCGAAGGTCTGCGAGTGCACCGTCAAGATGAAACAGTGATGGATGTTGTTGGGCAACATGGGGCACTGGAGCCGCTGCTGAGCAGGTTTGATGCAGCTAGCAGCTAGTATAGCATGGTGGAGCCGAGGAATGGAGGCTGCTGCCCACTGACGGGCAACCCTCTCGAGCTGGACATGTGTGTGCCCGACGTGGAACGGCGCAGCCGCCTTGCACAATTTGCACACAGAATGCCCCTCCCCGCATCTCCCACAGCAATTCTTCCGATACCAGCTGTGCATAGCTGTGCCCCCCCGAGGCACATGCTTCACCCACATCAAGAGCTGGGCCCGCGCGATGTACTGACGAGGGCTTCATTCTCGAGATGGGCTCATTTGCCAAGACATAGTGAAATGAGCTCATCGCGCGATGAATGCTTGAGAAAAAGGCTGACGGCAGAGCTTTATCTTGCAGCCTTTGAGGTTGTTCAGGCTGTGGCCGTATCAGGCAGTTTCCGCAGTTCTTGCCGGGTCAGGCTTCGCTGACGGCGGTTCTCGGCTCAAGTGCTGAAGCATGCTAAAGCAAATCGGCGAACCCAGCACCTTGGAGAAGTCTTTTGTAGCGTAGACGAAATCCACTGGTTCCAAGCTGTCCTGCCATGCAGGCTGGATACAAGGCTTGTGCATGTGTGTGCCCTCTACATCACGCACTTCGCAGGATGAGGCCGAGCGGCAGCGACAAGGGGTTCCCACCTCGAGAACAGCAGAGTGTCTCACGTCGACCACGGGTACGTCTGGAGAGACATTTTGGGCCATTCGTCTTGCTACCGAGGCAGCGTCTCTTCGCAAGTTCCTGCAGATGCAGCAGGTTGATCAAGTGATTGTTCTGCTTGCTAGCAACCGCTGCAGTTGTGAGTGGCATTCATGCTGTTAGGCAGCAGGTCTAGCGGTTCCTGGAATGGAGATGCTGGTTTGCGGCCCTGGAAGAAGCAACGTGAATTCTGTGCTGTAGTCATGGTGGTTTGGTCCAGTTCGGCTCGAGCCTATCGGGCCAGAATTTGCTACTGCTTCAGATGACTGCAAAGTGTACTCAGAGCATGCTCGGCAGATCCCGGCAGGGCCACTCTTTGTGAGTTGAGATGCGGAACCTGACATGGCCCATAGAGGGGAACGTCGGGCGCGCACGCGAGCTGTGTGACAGTGTCGGAACCCCACTCCTGAGCCTGCACCGGTGTCGCCATGGGCATACTGTACTACTCTTCGTCACATATCGTCACCTTCATGAATGTTGCGATGTTGGTGCCTCAGGTCGGATGTGCTTTGAATTGCTTTGCTTCCTTTTTTGGTTCAACCGTGCTTATAGCTACCCGTGGCCCACCAAGATAGTTCCTGGCAAAGGGATCAGGGTTGAGGGTTTACCAGGCTGTAATTAGGCTTTATTTAGGAGGTGGACCAGTTTGGCGGGTTCAATCCAACGTGGTTTGCAAGCCCTGGCCAGGCTTAAGCCTTCAACTATTGCCTGCAACGGCTGAGCTCGGAAGACCTGGCAGGCATGCTGCATGGACACTGTCTCCTTCATCGCTTGTGCAAGAGACTTGGAGCCCGTGTTGACTTGATGTGTGCATGCTTGCGCGGCCCAGCTGGCTCAGACACGCGAAAATGGCTGTCAGACAGACGAAGGCCAAAGAGTGACGTACGTCACTTCGCCATTTGTCGAATTCGAAACGCCAAGGCGTGCCAACAGGCGTGCCAACAGGCGTGCCAGCAGGCGTGCCAAGGCTGACCTCCCGCCGCCATGGCCGAAGAACCAGAGGTTGGTCAAATAGGTCACATTCTCACACAAGCGGAGGAAGACACGGAAGAAAGAGACGCCGAGGACGCCGAGGATGCGGAGGACGCCCATGATGCCGAGGCCCCAGATCCGGACGAGATGCGGGCAGCCTTGGGCGGCGTTGCCACGGGCTTGGCCGAGCAGCTGACGACCATCACCCAAGAAGTAAACAAAATTCGTGAAGAGCTGTACGGAAATAGTGGCATCGGCGGCATCGCGCAGGAACTTGAGAAAATGAAGGCTGGAAGCCTTGGAAACCTTCTTGAGGACACAGATATCCCTGGAGTTTCCGATGGTGTGAGACAGCGGCCAGCACAAGCCAAGTCGAAAGGTGGAGGTCGAGGAAGCCCCTTCTCCTTGGAGCGCGAGCGGAAGCTGGAGGAGCTCAGGCGGAGGATTGAAGATCGGCACACGCGAGAGCGAAAGGGGGAAAAGGAGGGGTTTGGTTTCATGGAGTGGCTTGTCATTCTTTTCGTCATCTTCGTGATCGCGTACACGGCCCTTCCATCCTTCCGTGTTCAGGTGAGACACACTTTTCAGGAACTTGTGCTCGGCGAGGTGCCAGAAGTAGTGGAGGAGGCGCAAGACTTCGGCGCTTTTGTGGAAGAAGACACCGACTCCTTCTTTTGAGCTGCAGCGCCTGTTCCATGTGCTGACCTGATGTATGCATGTGCAGCCAGCTCGATTGAGAACAAAAAGCTGTGTGCAACATCAGAAGCTAAAAAACTTTCGGACGACTAACGCCCGAACCCTCTCCTGCGGACTCAGTCGCAAAGCAGCCACAGCAGCGTTGCTATGTCACGAAACTGTAGGAACATCCTACGTGAACCTAAACCCGAAAAAGAACTGCCAGGCTGCAAGTGCGGATCGACAAAGTGGTGGCCCTGTGTCAGCCTTGCCAGAACCGATTGCCGGGAGTCGGGAGGACTTGTGATCACACATCGTATGCACAACGCTCGACAGCACAATATGGCAGCCAGGATGCCGGCTTGCTTTGTCACAGCAGTGCCTCCTTAAATCAACATGTGTTTAGCAACCCAGGCGCATGTCCATGTCACATGGAGTCCATGTCCTGTCGGATGCATGGAGAGTTGCAAGGCCCTCGAGCTTTTGAGTTCCGCAGGCATAGCCTGATGTGCGCGATGCGTGCTGATGGAAGTCCTGTATGTGTCACAGCAAGATGACTACAGTCAGAGCCCAAAGTTCTTTGTGATGCTTGAACTCGATGCGGGGAAGCAAGACGAAGTCGCAACAAGCAGTGTCGCCCGGGAACTAGCTTCTTGGGTAAGCCTGTCACCTTTGGCCTGGCGTCACCAGATCGGCACAGCGGCAGTTCGTGGGAGATGACTGCCCTTTTCGAAGCTGGTCTCGGTCTCCGGATTGGGCTCTGGCCGTCGGGCCCCAGCTGCCCGACAAGCTGCTAGGGATAGCGTTTGTAGCAGTCCATGTTGGCTATGAAATCTCATAGTGCCCCTCCCCAAGAAATTGCAATTTTTGGCATCTCCTGCTCAGCAGCGTTGTGCTGGGGAAGCTAAGGTTTATAACGACCCCCGCAAAAAGGCAGAACTGCACAACCATTCTTGTACTTGCGGGATGGGTTCTGCCGTTGCGTTTGCTATGTCTTTCAACAACATGGCACATGACACGGCGGCAGCCCGATGCGGATTAATAGGTTCCCGGCTTTGTCACGGGCCCCAGTTACTTGTCCGGGCACATTTGTGAATGCTCCTTCGCTGCCTTGACCGGTAAAATAATGCGCGGTGCCCCTGCTCTTGCCTCGGTGTGTTCTTGAAGGCGCAATTTGATTGCAAGGGAGTGCATGCAAACCACCGAAACAGCAGACGATTTTCAGCTCACTGAAGGCACAGATCGCCCAACCACCAGCGCCCAACCCTGCATCGAGCACAGGCCCTGCGTGCTGTCGTGCAGTTGCAACCTTCAACGATTTGTTGTGCGCCTTTCATAGCTCGACTAGGAGGTACGAACAATCGGAAGGATTGTGGCGCGCAGGGGGCTTCAGAAAAATGCTTCAGCTGAAAGCGATGACCTAGATTTCCTTGTGGGCATGTGACTTGGGCAATGGATTTTGTGCAGTTGCAGAAGTGCCGTCGATGCTCCACCCCCCGCCCTCTGCCTCCCCCCCCTGCCTCCCCCCCTCCACCTCTCCCCCTCTGCCCCCTCTGCCTCCCCCCCTCCTCCTAAAAAAGGGTCACAAGCCAGAACACTGCCGTTCTACCGGAGCCGCAGAGAAGAAACGCAAATCAGATAGGAATTGCTGAGTTTTCAAGTGCTTGCACAAGGGCATTCCGTTTGACATGGCATCACAGTAGATCACCTGGGGAATGAGATCCTTCGTCAATCCCTCTGCCTCCCGGGCCCAAGTCTACGGTGCCTGCAAAGCTGCAAAGTTTCCACGATATGTTTTGCAATGTGGCACATGCATGGCACTGCTTTCCGTACAGAGTACAGAGATGATTGAGACGAGGGAAAGATGGGGCGGCGAGGGTGCAAGCCAGGAATGATCACCTCAAGAAGCACTGCAAGCTGCAAGAAAATAAGTGCAGGAAGAGGGCCGACAACGCAGATGAGGCTCAAAGCGCATTGCGCAAGTTTTGATTTTAGTTGAGCATCAGCTGAAATCAAAAAAAAACAAAGCTGGTGCTCGGAGAGGGCTGTGAAACGAGCAGAGGTGAGACTGCACACCAGATGGATCGCATGCGCCAAGTTTTGTCACTGCCTCTGTAGGATTTGTTTGCAGCTCTGTGGCACAAGCTGGATGTGGGGCAGCGTTCCAATCGAAACTTGGGGACGCCCCAGCGACGTGACAGCATGCTGTCAATCACCGTGTGCCTTGCCGCCCCGCACTTGTGCCAGTCCTTCTTTGAATAACTTGAGGTGACATATGGATGGTGGCAAAGATGGAAGTTCCCTTGGAGGGGCCATAGGCCCGAAGCGTTCGCAATTTGGAGTGCTCTGGGTACCGTGGAATGTTACGGTGAAGCCACGCAGTTGTTCAGCTTTGCGGAGCTTTGCAGGGCTGCTCTCGGCATGTTGAAGCTTCATGCCGTTCCGAGTGTGCAAAGATGCGCGTGCGGCAGGATCAGAGAATCCAGCGATGATGGGTTGTGGATGCGGCAAGGGCGGCATGAACCCTGGAATGGGGGGAGGCATGTGTGGCATGGGTCCCATGTGTGGTGGTGGGATGGCCGGCATGCCCATGGGAGGGATGATGGGCAAAGGAGGCATGCCTGGGAGCTTGCCAGGAAACATGCCTGGAAATATGCCCGGAGCCATGGGGGGCATGGGAGGGATGGGGAACATGATGCCAAACATGATGGGCAACATGGGTGGCACCATGGGAAATGGCATGATGGGCATGGGCGGCATGAATCCAATGATGGCCTCAGCCTCAGCCACGTCATTGTCATGTCCAGTCGTGTCAGAGCCTGAGAGATGCCGGCTTGAATTTTGATTCCTGCACCGGTCAGCACGATGCAGTTTACAAAGGCGATGATGGGCATGATGATGGGAATGCAAGCCGCAATGGGTGGTGGTGAAGCAGCCGCCGATGCAACTCCCACCATCAAGTCTGAAGACAAGCATGCGGCCTGGCACAAGCAATTTGAAGAGTACTGGCGCAAATCTTTATTCTTGATGTGTCAGACTTGTCGGCTGAGGTAGATCCCCGAGTCAAGGCGATCTGTAACGACTTCGGCATCAGTGGCGACACTGTGATGAGGCCGAAGAGTGTTTGCATTTTTGTACTGTTGCTTACCAGTGATGTCTACATCCTACAGGTTAAACGATGCCATGCGAGAACGGGAAGACTACGATGAAGACCTTCAAGCACTGCACAAACTCATGGAAAGAGCCACCAAGGACTCGTGCAGGGGTTGTAGTGGACATCTTCCATAGCTGAGGGCTTGAGGTGGCACATGGTGGCATGTGCATTATTGCATGGCGCTTGCTCACATGGCTTCTACGATGCTACGACCCTGGGCTGGCTTGCTGTCATTCCTTCTTCGCGAAGAAAATGTGCTTCTCTGATATTCGGAAAAGTTTCGAAACGAGAGGTTCAGAGTCAGCGTCTGGAGTTTACTTTAAAGGCCAGGACAGGTGCCACTGTGGGCACCGTCCGGCTTCATCCTCTGCATACCTTATAAGGTGCGGTTATAACCGCGCCTAGCCGCAACCGTCTCAACATCGCCTTGCTTGTCGCAAGCTTGCTGAACATAACTTCAGTTGATGCTGAGGCTTTGTCTTTGAGTCTGTTTGAGCTTTCCTTGTGCAGCAGCCTTCTAGCTCTTCCATCAGCCTCCGAGACAGAAATGGACGTGATACTGAAACATCGGGCATTGACATTCCAGACACGTCTGCTGTGCTCCGTGAATGCTGTATCTATGCTATCTGGCACTGACCGATGGTTCGAATGCCACCTCTTGCAGAAGGACGGCAAAAAGCCGCTAGAAGTGATGCTTGCCCAGATCCGGGCGATCCGGGCGAATCGATTTCCAGGGAAGGACCGCAAGCATGCATTAGAGGCATTCAGAAAGGTTTGGAAGCTGCGCATTACATCCAAGGCGCTGTGCAGTTTCTGCCCTCTCTTAGCAAGCTGCGCTGCTTCACCGAGCTTCGCTGGCATATGGCTTGTTCTGAGGAACTCCTGGATCCGGACGTCTGGGATTTCATTTGCAAGTACAACCTGGACGACCGTGTCATGAACCGGCTCATTGACACGTTAAACAACCGGAAAAATAAAAGGAAGGAAACCTTGCAGGCAGCTGACTCAGTTAAGCACTTGCTTTCTTGCCTGCTGCTCCACATCTCCACTTTCCGCCATGTGCTGCCGTGTGCTTTCTCTTGGAAGTTCAAGTGCAGGCTTTGAATGACCGGCTAGGAAATGCACAGCAGCCGACAGGCCTTGGCCTGCTGGCAGGCTCCCCAGGAGTGGAACCACTTATGCGCCGAGACTTTCCTGTCCAACACCGTGTGAATTCCCAACAAAGGTTAGATTGCTGGAAGGCCTGGATGAGCCACTTGGATGGAGAAGTTGTCGCAGGAAAGTTGCCATTTTTTAGACGAGACATTTTCAAGGACGGGCCGCCTACCGTCGCCCCCCAGACGGCTTGGTGGTTCTGGCACATTCCGAAGCGCAGCTGCAACAGCCGAGAACAACTAATTGTCGTTGAGAAGTCATGAGCCCAGGACCGACTGGCACTTTCTTGCACCCACAATCATCGCGTAGCCCCCAGCTGGTGCTCAAGCATGTGTATGGATGAGTTGGCTTAATTTGTGTCGTGTGCAAAGTGTTGCCTTGCTCACGGGCTTTCGACAATGCATTGCTCCTGAGGTCCCGAGAGGCTCGTGAAGGTCGTGAGCAGGAAAGAAGCCGCCTTGATAAAAGGAAGTGTCAGCCTGCGTATCATCGATTGTGTCGCGCCGCATGTGCTGTTGGTCGCCCCCCGACCTCGCCAGAAGAAAGATCCAAGGTCGGGGCCGCCGCTCCGAGAAGCGCTCGCGCGAGCGCTCGCGCGGCCGCGACTCTCGGGGTCGCGAGGGCCGCGAGGGCCGGGAAGGCCGCGACTCGCGGCGCTCGCGTTCGCGGCGGCGGTGAAGTCCATGTTTGATGCGAAGCCTGTGAAGTCGGTGAAGCGGCCGAATGCGGCATAGAGCAGGGAGGGAGACGTCCATTGCATTCAGGCAGTTACAATCCTGCACAACAAAATGGTGCCGTAGTAGCAATGTAGTAGTAGCAATGCTGTAGCAACGCTCCCTCCTGTTGACTCCTACTGTAGTTTCTCACAATGTGGAGGACACATGAGCCCAGAGCAGATTATGCCGCCCAAAGAGGGCAAAAGCGCGATGTGTTACATGCTGAGGATGCTTAATGCCTAGAAGGCTACCAGTTCATAAGGCATCCCGGCTCTCAGATGAATTTGGAACACGCAAAGTGGGTAGGGCGCAGAAGATCTGCTTCACCCGAGGCCACTGCCCCATCCTGATCCAAAGACGATGCAGCCATCGAAGGTGCAGGCAGGGGCTGGCTTTCAATTGTGGGTGCAGACTGTGATTGCATTGGGCGCCAAGGCGCTGATGCACCGGCACATGTGCTCTGACACACCGATCTGTTGCTCTGTCGTAGTCGGCGCAGTCGGCCTAGAAAGCGGGATCGCAGTCGGCCTCATCAGTGCAGGCAGGGTAAACGGCGTCATCAGCGCAATCGGTGCAGGATGTAGCGTATATCCTTGGCGCAGGTAGCAGAGTCGGTGCACTCAGCGTATTCGGCGAAACCTGCCAGTATGTAGTGTGCTCGACTACTCTGCCTAATTGCTAAATCGGCGTGCATCTTCCAAAAGAAGGGCCCTGGTTGTCGGTTGTCGCCAGACACGGAGTTTCCTTGGTTGACATGGAGAAAATGGCTTAGTAGGCGTCGAGCTGATAAGAGCTGACAAGAGCTGACAAGACATGACAAGACGCTTATACCTTCCGGCCGCATCTGCAGGACGCAGCCACTGAGCCTGTGCTCGAGGCATCCTCAGATGCCCCCGAAGCGAGAGCGCAGGCGGGTCAACGGACGGATGGTGATGAGGCCATCTGCCTGAATCTGCCTTGCTCTTCAATAGTCTTCAATCTCTGTCTGGGGTGCCGGCCTGAGGGAATTGCTGCAGGCTGGCATGACTGGGGTGACCACTGACAGTGCTGCAAGAATCATGGGTCCACAAGGCCTTATGCAGCACGTGGGTGCATGTCAGTTACTTGGAGAGTAACAAATCTCCCCCCCCCCCCCACGCAATGTGAAGTGCTCCGAAATGCTGTTGCAGGCTTTGCGATCCGTTCGAGGCCAAATCAAGCTCTGCGACGACAGGAGGCCTTAAATCACCGAGGGCGAGGACCCCACTGAAACATGTCGATCCCAGCAACGCTGTTGCATTGCCGTTCTCCCGTATGCGTTCAGTTTCGTCAACCAGATTGCGATGTTGTGCTGTTTCCTAGTGGCCGCCTGCAGCGAGAGGAGCAACGGCCCTGGCCGCACAGCAGAAGGGATGTGGAGCATTCATGAGCGGAAAAAAAGTGCGAGCTTTGAGCGATTGATGCATGTTGGGTTGGCATTCGCGAATTGCTGCTTCCTTTGCTTGCTCATTGAGACTAAGTAGATGACATCAGATATCAGATTATTGACTATTCCAGTATCAGGATCAAGCCACCGGAGTCAGGCAGACAAGTTCGATCTGGGAATATTTCGCGGCAACTTCAGCGGTCAAATTGGTTTCACGAGGCCGGATCACGAGCAGTAGGAGATTGAACAGAAGGCAGGTGAGGCTGTGGCTAATCTATGCGGAAGGCAAGCCATGGACGAGGTTGCAGCCACTCTAGCAACATAGCAGTTACTGAGCAAATATTCACGAGATTTCAGGAGTCTGTTCCCATTTGCCGTAAAGCATGCTTGATGGGATGCGCGGTGCTGTATGCCTACATGGGCCGCAGCTCTTCCAGCGAATCCACATCCAAGGCCTGTCTTAACGCAGCCGAAGAGATCTTGGAATAATTGATGCACACGATGCACACGGAAGGCTGCCAAAAAGAAAGGCGATAAGAAAGCCAAGAAGTCCTCAAAGAAAGAGGCATGGTGCCATTCAGTTGCATGAATTACCTGAAGCCCGATAGCACGTTCCCTCACGCCACACCTGCAGCCAGGCCAAGAAGGCCAAAAAAGAAGCTAAGAAAGCCAAAAAGCTAGCAAAGCAGATCAAGAAGCTCGAGGAAGAAGTGGAGAAGCGCAAGCGCCAAATCAAAGGGGAAGTGGAGGCCATGTGGTCACGGTGTGATGGCATAGGATTGGCTTCATGCTGTGGCAGTGGCTTGATCTCGGAAAGGGGAAGAAGAAAAAGAAGAAATCATCATCATCATCGTCTTCTTCCAGTTCCAAGCAGCAAAAGAAAGGCTGCAATCATCGCAGGTGCACTCAGCATAAGTTGTTGGACTCCTTGGCGGCAGGCTCTAACAAGCCTCCTGAACCAGCCGCTGAGACGGAGGACGGAATGGAATGCAATGGACAAGGCATGACGAGGCATAATTCATCATAAGTCATCATAAGTCCTCGGGCACGCCGCATGTGCTGTCTTTGCCGCTTCCTTCTTGGCCCATCTTGTACAGGAGCACTGGGAGCATAGGCAGTTGCCGGAAAGTCTGAGCCAGCCAGCGCAGCCAGGGCCTCTGGTGTACTCGGAGACGCAGTCACCACCAAAGTCGCCTCAGTCGCCGCGGTCTGAGAAGGAGAGGTCGCCACCCGAATCCAGCTCCGAGGAGTCTAACCCAGAAATCCACGAGGGGGCAGTTTGTGACCATTGTGACATGCAGCCTATTCTGGGCCCACGCTTCAAGTGCGCCAGCTGCGATGACGTCAGCCTTTGCAAGAAGTGCTACAAGCGACGTCAGGAGATCCACAGGCCCAGCCACCGCTTTTTTGCCATGAAGCCTATGAAGTCAGACCAGCCCATCCAGCCCATCCAGCCCCATTCGCCCCGGCCACTGGCAGAGAGAGCCGACTCCGGAGAGCCGCAGGAGCTTCTGGCGGCTGGGAGGGCACCACGTGCAGAGCAATATCCGGAAGCTCCAACTCCAAATACGAACGTCGCACCCGTGAGTGTTTCAGCGCCGATGATTGTGCCGGCAGTGGCACAAGAAGTGGCCTCGCAGATGCAAGAGCGCTTTCTCAACATGGGGAAGGGCTACGCGACACTCGCCATCAAATCTGGCGTGAACTTCTTTGGTCCTGTGTGCAACATGTCAGCTTCTCGTCCTTGTGGAGAGTTTGGTAAGCCTGGTAAGCTTATTCCCGAGGAAAAGCTGGCAGGCAGGACATGCTCGTCACTTGACACAGTGTTCATGGTATTGGCAATCTCAGTGGTAAAAGTCTGCGACCTGGCAGGAGTCCCTTCCTGTGCTGGAAGACCCTGCAGCAAAGAAGCATACAAAGGTGCCTGGCAGAGCTTGAAGGGGCACGCCAATGCGATTGTGCCAACACACACACAGAGGCAGAAACAGACAGAGAAATCCAGATCCCAGTGCAGTAGGCAACAGCGATGACAACACGTAGGATTCATATGGAATGATGATGCGCCGGACTGTGTCACAAATGTCAATGACAGTGAGTAGACAACCGCAGCAACATGCACCAATCATATTCAATCATCACACTTCTTCGGAGCCCAGGTGTCCAAGCCAGAGCCCATAACAAAGGTTGGCAAGCAGATGAACCGTGGTGCGGCTTGCGGTCTTTGCCTTCAGCAGGCTGGATCTCGGAGAAGGCTTGTTTTTTTTTGACACGCATGATGCACGCGCACAGGTGCCAGAGACTGAGTCTTGGTGGCAATATGTGGCAATTGTCAAGAGTTGTTCAGCGATTGTTGTCTGTGGTTGCTTGAGGCTAGTGGAGTCCTCTGCTTCCGGGTTCGGCCAGACGGAACTGAAGCAGGTCATGGATCTTCGTCCGAACGCTGCTTATTGCTCACTGTTTGCTCTGACAGGCTGCAGCAAGAGCGTTTGCTTCCCTTGCATGGCCCGCGCCTCCTCCGTCATGTTTGGGAAGGCTGAGCGATGAGCTTGGTCAACTGGCCCGGAAGCTAGAGCAAGAATGCGCCAGTTGTATTTTGTTGCGAAGTTTATGGAGGTCCGTGTCAACAAGGAGATTTGGATGGCCATGGGCGCTCAAGCTTGGTGGATGCACGAGCGCTGCATGACGTCCGAAGAGGTCGTCGAGCATGCCGAGTTGGTGAAGCCAACCGCTCAGCAACTAAACGGCTAAAGCGGCTAAAGGCAACTTCCAATTCACCATCAGTGATGCACCTGCAAATGTCAGGTCAACTGGCTTGGAAGAAACTTTGAAGGCGAGTAAGAAGCTGCCAAAGGGCTGGGTGAGCAAGATCTCCAAAACCACAGGCAAAGTCTACTACGTCAACGATGCTTGGCAGCGGACAGTTCTAAATGACCAATAAAGCCTGCCTAAATTTCATTCTTTTGTCGGGTACAGTCTGTCTTGTGTTGAGCCTAATAGGCCGTCTGCAGCTTCGGATCTGCGAAAGGTCTCATTGAGGGCAGACTGACCGAGTGCTTAGGCGAAGAAAAGCAAGACCCAATGGACGCTGCCAGAGGAGGAGGTCGAAGAGACTCAAGAGCACTCCCAGCAAGTCACGGCGAACCTCAAAGCCAGCCTGTGCGAGCTTGTGGGACATATCGTGCTTGTCCATTTCCTCTTTGTTCGGCTTGGCAGCTCATGCTCGGTTCTTACAGATGTCAGGAGCATGAGTCTCCAGCTGAAGGTGGGCAACAAGATGTAAAGAGTCACGCAGGGCAAGAAGAACTCACAGAGCTTTGACCCGTTGTATGTAGCCGGCGACCAAAATTCTCCGTGTCTGGGGGGCACCATTTCAGCAGCAGGTGTTGGCTTGGCAGATGCTGCTCGCCCATTAGAGCACAAGAGAGTGCATTTCTAAGATGGTGGGGACAGACTACCGGCTTGCTTTCCTTCGATGCGTTTCTAAGACTCAGACCAGGCCAGACTGCAGAGCTGCAGAGAGAGCGAGAGAGGAGACAACTCCCGTGAGTAAGAGAGAGTGCTCAGAGTTCTCTTTGCATTTGGCGTGAATTGTTTTGGGCTCACGAAAAAAAGTAGCTGGCGCATTCGCGCGATCTTTCGCCCAGCGGGTCCCGCCGACTTCCTTGGTGCGATGGCTCGGCAGTGCGGCACCTGGAAGTGCTGCATGCGTCCTTTCACCCAATCGCTAGAACCGCTTTCCAACATGCAGCCCAAGGTACAGACTTTCTACGGCGTCCGCCTACAGCATCTATGAGATGTGCCGCTTCCTGCCTTGATACTTGTAGCCGCCCCTGTAGTCTATGCTATTGAACAGTTAGTAAGAATCTTTCCCGAACTCATTGAGTCTTTGTGGAATATGTAAGTTCTTGCGTCCCTTAGGCCAATCAAATTTAGGGTTGCAGTTGGAAAAGCCTTGAACCCTCAGTGCCGGGGCTTCTCGAATTGAATATGCTGCTTAATGGTTCTGAGATGTTCGAGATTGGGCGAACAGGTCCTTTGACAGGCTTGCGAGGCTCGACCTCAGCTAAATGTCGTGGCCACAATGGTCTTGTCAAGATATGGTCGAATGCTTCAAAATCGTCACGTTGCCTTCAGGCAGGGCTAAAGTCGGCAGGCTTGCTTCGTGGAACTTGCTCATCTTCTGTGCTGGCCACCTTAGTGGTCGCTTTAGTGCTGCCTTGGCCAGCTGGTGCCTTGCCGTGTCCTTCTCGTTTGCGTTCAGATCCTGTGTCGTCGAAGTCATGGCAGCTGTGCTCCCGAAGCCCAACAGTTTGAGTCAACGAGCTGGTGAAACCAGTACATGTTTAGCTGCGAGGCTGTCAAGCCTACAGCTTTAAACTTCTGTCCGCGCCATCTTCCGAAAAGCCGAAGTACAACTTGGGCGGCCAGTCTTCAACCTTGAGCTGCCACGACATGAAAAAACAACGCAGGCGTGGAAGAGAAGAGCGTGCCAGGAACACCGTGACGCAGCATCGGACAGACTGTTTTTCCATGAGCTGTCGGAGGGCTTCAAACAAACACTGTTTTCCTTGGGTGCTGTGTGCAGTTTAATTGTAGCATGGCTTTGTCATCGTCCGAAGCTGGATTCCTGGTCCTGGTTGTCGAGCCGGTGCCGGCGCTCAACTTGTCTGGATTTTGTTTCAATCAAATCGTCGGAGGTGCAATTCTCTTACCTACTCTCGGTAAAATGCTGAAACTAAGGGGTTGTTGCTGGCCGCTTCTGCTCGGCCAGGTACTCGGAGGATTGGGCGGCCGTCGGGCATGATGGGCATGATGGGCATGATGGGCATGATGGGCATGATGACAAGGAGGCCAAGTTCGAGGCCGGAACCTGCCCGAAAGCCCTCGAGTCCTTGCGCACATGCAGCCTGTCCGGAGTCTTGGGAGTCAGGACAGTCAAAAGGGTTCGGAAGGCGAGTTTGCTCGACAGGTTTCAGCCAGATCCGTGCACAGGTCCTGGATGTGACACACGCACACGCACACGCACACGCACATGCACACGCACACGCACACGCACGCGCACGCGCACGCGCACGCGCACGCGCACCCGCACGCGCACGCGCACGCGCACGCGCCAGCGCACGCGCACGCGCGGCACGTGCACGCGCACGCGCGCGCCGCGCACACGCGCGCAGCCGCGCACGCGCCACCGCACGCGCACGCGCACACACGCACGCGCACGCGCACCACGCACGCGCACGCGCACGCGCACGCACACGCGCGCCCGCGCACGGGCACGCGCACCTCGCTCACCCTCTCGCACGCTATCATCACTTGCGCACGCGCAACCCCACGCGCAGCGCACGTGCACGCGCACAAACGCGCAACGCACCGCGCACGCACACGCACACGACACTCATCGCGCACCGCCACGCACACGCACACCCACACCGCCACGCACACGCACACTCACACTCACACGCCACACGCACACGCGCACTCACACGCCACGCACATCGCACACGCACACGCGCACGCGCACACACACGACACAGACAACGCGACAGCGACGCAGACACAGCGACAAGACACACAGCAGACAGACAGACAGACAGACAGACATACATACAGACAGACAGACCCGACAGACACAGACAACAGACAGCAGCCAGACACAAGACAGACAGACAGACATACATGACAGACAGACACAGCCGACAGACAGACACACAGACATACAGACAGCGACACAGACAGACAGCAGCCACCGAACCTACAGAC